GCACATCTCCTCAATTAAGGCATGTAACTAACTAACATCTAACTTAAGGCATCTAAAATAACACATTTTAGAACAGATGTAGATGTAGTCACTAGCCCTGAAGTAAATGTGTGACAGTGCCATATGCTGCAGCTGTAACCTAATGGTTACAAATTTGGGAGACAAGCTACATGGGTCTGATGTTACTGCTTGTCTGTGTCCATCTGGCCTTCTGCTGGAGACTGCAGCTCCTCACAGCAGTCAGCAGCAGGAAACATGTCCAAGGCTCAGCTCCCTTTGTTCACAGCATGGCTGAAGGGGTCTCTGAGCTGTACCAGACACTTCCTAATGTGACAAAAATGTCTTAAAGGTAGTGTTCTAGAGATGCTTGCCTTTCTTTAATTCTTAGATGTATGTGTTTACATTAGATGAGATAAATACTAGGCTACCAATGTGAACTCCACCTGTCCTGAATGCCAAAAGACATACATTTTAAACATACAAATCATACTTTTAATATTACTTGGGCTCCTGAGCACAGAGGGGAGGAATTAATTTCAGTATTTCAGATTCAGCATGCATAGAACTCTGTCAGATGCTTTCTTTTTCTAAATCAAGGCATTTCTAACAGAATCAGTTCTCCTGATCATAGCTTTGCATTAGTCTGTAAGCTTTTTAAGCTCCTGCTTGTATTCTTATTTGCTGCAAGACCTTCCCCCCTCCCCTATTTTCTCCACTTTTATCACCTTTTCTGTTACAGTGTAGTGACTAGACTAGTAAAAGTGCGGCCATCTTTGAAAAAGAAGTAATTCAACTGTTTGTTTTGAAATTCATACCTTTCTCAGTGTATTTATTTTTACTTTAACTCTTGTCTAGGAATCTATTAGATGGTTGGAAGATGAAAAAGCTCTTCTTGAGATGACAGAAGAAGTAGACTATGATGTGGATTCTTATGCTACCCAACTTGAAGCAATTCTAGAGCAAAAAATTGAAATTCTGACTGAACTTCGAGGTAGACTGATTTTAATCAATTTTGTGTGCATTAATAGCAAAAGAGTGTCATTATATTTTCCTTTATACCGTCCTGCTGTCCTGCAAGGACATGTGCTGTCCTGTGCTCTGCTGCCTAAGAGCAAGTTTGTTCAGTTTATCGTGGTTTAAAGGAAGAGGCTCTGCTTTACCTCCAGGAAGTACACACTTGATCCTACAGCTTTTTTCCTTTGCTTTGTTACAAAATAAAGTATGGATGTAGGCAAAAAAAAAAAAAAAAAAAAAAGGGGGAAACAAAAAAGCAGTGAGGAACAGGTAGCAAGAACTCCAGAACTCCCAGTTCCTTCTGCCTTGCACTCAAGTGTACCAGGGAGCCTGCTGTCATGTTCAGTCTGCATATTTAGAGCTGTGCCAAGCCCTGAATTGCTTGGTTATTATACTTTTTGGCTCATCAGTATTCCTGACTGTCTTTTGTCAACCTCTCCTTGCTGAAAACAAATCACAGATTTTTTAGCATCCAAATTTGAGACTCTTCAGCATATCTTTTAATATCATCTTGTCAGCTTGGTACCTCATTCAGATGAATGGGGGTATAGGGAGTCTTCCTTTTTGATTTTATATTCTGGATGACACATGCTAGACTGGTGAAATTGAAGGGGTTTAGGACTTAGGGCCTTGAGTATAATCAAAGATTTTATCTTTTAAAGTACTTTATAATGTGGTTCCAAGAACAACAAAAAGCCAAACAAAAGCTTGATTATCTCCTGTAGGCTAGAAGAATACTTCAAGCAAGTCAGATATGGCTTGCTTACCCTCTAAGGGTGTGTTGCCCACAGTGTACTCTAGCAAAGAAGCGGAGGTACTTTCTTTTGATTTTTCTGAACTAGATGATGATTTCTACTCCTCAATAAGACAATTTTAGATATCAGCAGTGGCAAAACACCAATTTGTCTCCTTGGTCTTTAATAATTATTAGATACTGCTTTTGAAAAAAGGCACTGGAGGCAAAGGCAGTTTAGGAGAACCTTGCTTTTTTATGGTCAGTTAGACACAGCTCAACAGGAGAGAACTACTGTTAAGTCAAAGCAAACTGCTGTTTGCTCAGCAACATTTGTGCTCTGTTCATGACACATAATGGTCACTGAATATTTCAGCTTGTATTCCTGTCATGTTATGATTGATTCCTTCATTTTGCTTCTGCTTTTACATTCTTGAGCTTATTACAGGGGAATGGGAAGGAGAGGAATAGAAATAGGAAAGGAATGCCATATTTCCTTCCTCAGGTTTCTCCAATTCTCTTGTAAGGAATGGTACATTTATCTGTTTATGATGGATATCTTCAAAAATGTAATCATGAATGCTGTTCTGGTAAAATACTGGAGAATCAAATTTGGGGGTTTTAGACTGCACAGGAGTGGCTGATTGTAGACCTAAGTACAACTTTGAAGGCCTCTTAAGGGCGGATTAGAAGCTGCTGTGAGGGAGAAGGAAGTAGCCATGTACTGTAAGTTTGAAGCAGAATGTAAATGTGAAGTGGTTACACATTGGGAATGCAACTGTGCAGCTTCCTAATCTATCCTGCCTAGAGACAGGAGCAGCATCCAGGAAGGGACTGAGTTGCTAAGCAACTTGCCTGTGTGGTGAGTACTGAATTTAAGCCCATCTCAGTCCTTTTCTTGTGTGTGTGTGGAGGAGCGAACGTCCTTTGCTGTGTGGTAACGCCAGGCTGTGGAGCAGCAGCGTGTCGTTGCAGGATCTGTGATGAGCGTAAGCACATCAGTACTCATTCTCTGTTTTTTTTTTCATTAAAGATAAAGTGAAATCTTTCCGGGCAGCCCTACAAGAGGAGGAACAGGCCAGTAAACAGATCACTCTGAAAACACCACGTGCCCTTTGAAATGGGCCTTTGCTGCTAAAGGAATCGACGAACACGTACTGCTGTAGCACACATTTGTTGCAAAACCCAGTGGCCGGAAGAACTCAACTACTTGAAAGTGAAAAACTTTAGAAATGTCTGTGGAAATGTCCTGTTTCTTATTCACCTGAGTGACATTTTCAGTTTTGTGTGAAATGCTCCTATGATGTCTACAAAATGCTTCTAGACCAGACGGCACAACCATGCAGGGTTCAGATCTGTGAAGCACTTTGTTTCAAATATTTCATTTATTCAACTAGTGAATTTTATGTTTTGGAAATATTTGCCATGTTTTTAATAATGAAGTAAAACTGTGGCCATTAAAAATGCCACAGCATTTCCTTTCAACTATGTTCAGTTTTGTTACAAAGCTGTGCAGTTTTAAATTGTGTTTGCGTGCATGCACACCTCGCTAGTGGTTGTACATAACTTCTCTTCTGCAGACAGCTGTGCTCACCTCATCCCATTCTGTGCCTTGATGAAGGCTAGTTAAACCCTAGACATCCTCTTTACGAAGCACAGCCTTAATAAACAACATTCCTTATTTGTCAATGTAAATTGCCTTTAGTGTGTGTACATTTTTAATGTGTTTGGAGACTTTTTTTTTTTTTTTTTTTGTGGCTAAATTATTTTATATAGCACAGGATGTCCCATATCCAGGAACCACAAGAGCTGTTGGATTGGACAAACAGCTACCATTTCATCCTCCTTGTAAAAATCTGGAATCTAGATTTATTTGAATACCATAAAGAGTGGTTATATAATTCTAACATTTTCTCTGTAAAAACAAACACACAAATATAAATTAGTTGATGTATAATAAAGGGTAATGTTTAAGTACTGAGGAGAGTTGTATCTTAGGATAATGCAGATATACAATATGTGGTATGGTGTGATAATGCTGTCAGAATAAAGGTGCAGTCTTGACCTCTACATATGTCAAAGATCGGGGATTCAGCTAAACAAATACATAGTACCCTCTTACATACTGTTAAAATTTGGCTTTTGATGCATGACAGACTTACATGTACATTAACTGTAGTTTGCAGGTAGTTGAGTAGTTCTGTTGCTTTAAAGAAAATAGCTAATACCTGTTTTTCCCTTTGTGCAGTGCCAGCAGCTGAAAAGTGGGGTGAAATGGCATCATTTGAGGATTTGCACAATACCTCTACCTAGTGCTAATAGAAATCCCACAAGTACCTGAATTCTCACAAATGGCGCCATGCGTTATCAACACTTTCTAGGTGGTGGCACTCTAGTTATTTTTGCAAGTCAATATCCAAAAAAGAAAGATTGACCTTTCCTGCAAGAACTTCTTGTCAAATGAAGAATTGTAGACCTCTCTAGGAGTTCTCCGTGTTTCCAGGAGTTCATATCAGCAGACTTTCCTTGGAACTGCTTAAAAATCACTTTTGGAATAGAAGCCTGGTCCAGGCTGGAGGGAAATAAAGAGAAGGCAATGAAAAAGAGAGTTAAATGAGCCAGGAATTCTTGTAGTGTTTAATGTTTGTATCTCCCATAGGAAGGTAGCTATGGGAAGCTCTTGTCGCATCATGGTGGAAAAAAAAATCCTCTTGTGTGTAAACATTAAAACTGAAATAACAATGTAGATTTTACAAAATGTGTTTAATAAATAAACCTATTAAATGAATATCAGATGAGAATTTACTTCTATGCAAGTTATATTTTGCTTTGGGAAGGGTTTTACTCTGTGAATATGTTTGAGTTATGTTTTGAAAAATATTTCAAAGGCCTCTGATTTCAGAATGATTACTTTTGGAAATGACCATTCTGTGCAAGCCTGTAGTTTAGGAAGAAATTCCATGAAGCTTTTTCCTGACCTGACTTTTGCAGCAGCTCTTGGTGAAACATAACTGATCCTTCTGAGCATTTGTTCAAGAACGGCCTTCATCACAGGTAAAAGGGGGGAAAAACAGGGAGAGGGAAAGTGGAAGGCAGCTACTTTGGGTCATAGGTGCTAGTACAGGTTAATTAGAATAGCCAAGGCTTTTATTTATTTACTTTTTTTTTTTTTTTGAAGTTGCTGTATGGGGATCTAACACGAGAAAGGATAACTGTGCTGCTCTTCAAAGCTCTGTGCAGGCCAACAGCCACAGACAAGGAGAGACAGAAGAGAGGCAATTAAAGAGTCCAGCAGCTTTTTACTAATCTCTGTAAATAACATATCTAGTCCTGTGGGTCTAGCAGGAGGGATGTTAAGGAACAGCCTTTGTTAACAGGCCAGTGCTGTAACGATCAGGTCAACACCAACCTTGAAAGAGCAAGAATTCAGATACAAAGTTAGTATGACTTTTTATGGCACTCAATCCTGTGGCCCATTTCTGTGATGCATTGTAATTACTTGAACTGGACTTAGAAGAGCAGACGTTGTTTCCTGTCTGAAAGGATATGAAAAGTATGACACATGTCTGCAATGTGACCCTTCTGTACAGGTCTTGGCATGCATTGGTGCCTACTTACCATCAGTCAGAAATGCATCTTTTATGCAAGGAAACAGCATGAAAATAATCATGAACTTATAGATTAAATGAGCAGTTTTCCAAGCCGTTGTTGCAGAGTGTCTGCTGAATAATCACTGAAGAATGAATACTTCCTTGCATCACTAGTTCATTTGAATAAAATGAAATTAATTTTGGAGAAGTTTTTTTTTGCTAGTTGAATGGCTCTTCTCCATTTACTATTGTATTTATGGAAAGACATTTGCCATATATAGAAAGCAAATGACTCAGTATAGGGTCATGCCTTCGTCTTGGCATCATGTTACAAGAGTTGGTCTTTTTCTAAATCATAATAAAATAAAGTGGTATTTTTAATGGGTGTTATATAGAGTTAATGCAGTCTTCCCGAGTAATCCTTGCCATGTTCCTGGTAACAAATATATGATCCAAATTATTAACATACTTCAGTGAGTATTTTTATTAAATGCAAGAATGCACTGCTTGGAGGCTCACCAAAACAAACAAACAAAAAACCATCCACAACTCTGATCCAGGCTAAAACTCTCTTGAACAGCAGAGTAGATTTCTCAACTGTCAATGCAAGTTGCCATTTTTTTTTCCTTGACACGAAAACTTCCACCCATGTCTCAGTGTGCTGGCACTTTACAGCTGCTTCCTAGAGCGGTCTGATGGCAGCGAGGAAGGGCTGAAGGAAGTGGAGAGGGGCAGTTCTACGTAACCTCAGTCATTTATGTAACCAAAAATAAGCCCAGAAGATGCCCTTGTTTCTGAAAAACAAATACTGAGATTTCTAAACAGATCTGGATTCCCGGCAGGACAAAGGGAACAGACGAGCATTTCAGAGCAAAAGAAAATGTTTAAATATATTTAAAAACAAATTAAATGTCCAAAAATCTGTTTTTGTTGCCCAAATCTGAATTCAGAGTTATACTGCAAGGATATATACAAAGACGAAGTCCATGAACAGACAGCACAGATCTCAGTTATGGCAGCATTAATCCATATGTCAGTGGGATATATTTAAAAATCTGGAATTACAGGGATGTCCAACACCTCACTTTGGTCTTGAAAATATTTAATGCATTTAAAAGATGGAGTGGCAGCTTCTTCCTGTTATCTGTGATAAAATTGTATGTAATGTTCTTAAAAAGACCTAGAATATGCACGCTATAGTTGTTGCTTTTGTGAAGATATGTTGTGCCAGTGCAGTCATTCTAGCTTCAGGAAGACTTTGATGACAAAATACTGAGTATCGCTCATTCTTCTGAGACGACTTATGAGAAATGGATGCCTTCTGCATTGAAGCCATGAAGAAGTCTGGAGAAGAAAAAAAAAAAAAAAAAAACTTAAGGAAAAAATTCTTGACAGTGAGGGTGACAGAGCACTGGAACAGGCTGCCCAGAGAGGTTGTGGAGTCTCCTTCTCTGGAGATCTTCCAAACCTGCCTGGACGCCACCCTGGGCCATGTGTCCCTGCTGGAGCAGGGAGGCTGGACTGAGCTCTAGAGGTCCCTTCCAACCTTAACGATTCTATTATTCTATTCTATGATTCTATGTTGCATGTTTCTACTAATTTATTCTTCAGACAATTTCCAAGCCATTCTATTAAAGAACATAGGACAAAGAAAGGAAACAGTCATAAAATCTAGTGTTGCTCTTCGGCTGCTATGAAGAATTGTCAGAAGGCAACTTCAGCCCAGCAAATTTACTGTATTTCCTGAAAGAACAGTAACTGTGCTAATTGTTACACTGAGGAACAGCTGGGAATTTTATCCTGAATTAGAAGATGATTACTATGGCCAGCTAAATGAACTGACCATAAGGAAGCCACAATATAGCAGTTAATTACATAACTAACACTTCCAGATTGTACTGTAGAATAAGGTCTAATCCTCAAGACAGAAAGAGTAGCAAATCACTAGGGAAATTTATAATAACCGACTTTGTTATTAGAAACATTTTTAGATGTAGATATATCTAGCACATCAATCTTAAAAGTAGAGATCTTACAATAGTTGCTTCTCACAAGCAGTTAATAATATACTTACATAAAGATAAATACTTTTATATATATATACTTACATATATATGTATAGGATTTCTATACATAGGGTTTATATATACGGTTTAACTGTTGCTTCATGTTCAGGACTAGAAGCAGGAAGTATGTGGTATTCCGAGCTAGTGCTATTCCTACATAACACAGTAAGAATCTGTTCCATGCAAGTACAGATACAGGTAGAACTTGAAGAAGCTTTAAAGAAAGGAATAAAGAGAATAGGTTTACCTAATAAAGTCATCTATATCCATTGAACGGGCACGTTTTTCAGAGTAACCTGTATTTTTTAAGACTGTCTGGATTTTCTCTGCAATTTTGAAATTTTCTGGTATTTCCTGTCAATAGCAAATAAGATACAAGTTAGCTTTTCATTGATAGTATAAGAAGGTTAAAATTAGTTTAATTTTTCCATTCTTTTCCTGCTTTTCAAAGAGTTTTTGTTTCAAGTTTCAAGATAATTTAATTAAGTTTCTCTCTCCTCTGCCCCGTTATCCTCTCCATTGCCCTTCCCAGAATGGATGCATGTGTCTGGACTTTACACCTCAACTAATTCACTGTGAAATAACCACCAACACTGTGGCCAAACAATATATCAACAATATATGTGTTTTTTATTTCCTCATTACATTTTAGGAAAACTCGATTTTTCTTTGAAGAACAGTTAGTTTCCTCTCTGCCTGACAATCTTTTAGCGAGGATTTAGCATTTCTTTTTAAATAAATATTTGTGCTTAGGTCACACTGCACAGGAATACAATTTAGTGCATTAAAAAGGCACTTACTGTATTATGTAAGGAACAATGAATTCGGTAATTATGATCCAACAACTGCTCTACTGCACTTGATCTGAAAGAAATGCAATTCAGTTAAATACCGTATTGATTTTTAACTGGTTCTTTTGACTTGAGTGGTTGTCAGTCTTCACTATAAAAAGAAATTGCACTGACTACACAGAGCTGTTTATTTGAAACGGCTGCCTCAAAGAGATTTTTTTCTAAAGGTCTCACTTGAGGAGAGTTTCTAACATCAGTATAAATTCTCCATTATTTTTTATCTCAGACTGTTCCAGGATCTGCATTACAAGCTTCTATGATCAGAACTGCTTTCATACCAGTGCAACATTAGCAGGCATTTGCAAGAAAGTAGTAGTTAGCTGGACAGACTTGGAAACTTTGAAAAGCTGCTCTCTAATAGAATTTACTTACTTGAATGCTGCGGACAGTGTCTTGTTTTTCCTAACAAAGGCTATCCTTACCAGACCATCCCATTCCTGAAATTCAGAAGCATATGCTATTTACTAAAAGGAATAAAGAGCTGCAACAAAAAGCTCAGAATAAACACTACTGGCAATTTCGTAACAATAATACAAATAAAATGATATTTTTCAGAAAATACCCTTTTAACCAATAAGAAGGCAGTGCTGCCTTGTGCAAAGAGAAGTAGAGGAAAAAATACATTATCCACAGAAGTAAGAAATGAAATGAAAAACAAAGTAACTACTGCTCCTTTTACTGGATATGGTGAATATATGATGCTCACCTGAAAGTTGATAGGTGGTGGTGGGTTCTTTGGCTCTATCCTGACAACACTGGATTCAACTTTAGGAGGGGGCCTGAAGTTGTTCTTTCCAACCTGATAACTCAGGAGAAGTTAGGCAGTTGTATAAGTTAGCAGCAAATTCTCACATTCTTAAAATCAACTTCTTTTCCTTTTGATAACTGGTAGCTAACATAGAACAACGAACCTTCATCAGATGATCCACACGAGCTAATAACTGAGTATTAATAGAGAGTCTGCAGTAGAGTTTAGTCCCCGGTTTTGCAACCAAACGAAGTGCAAATTCTCTTTGAAACATAAGTATCGCACACCTAAGAATGACAGAAAAGAGCAATTCAAAATCTTCTCAGCTTTTAAGGCTAAAGAGTTCCCTAAAGACACAGATAAAGACACAGATTTCCCCTCAACAAATGAAAGTCTAGCATACAGGCATACTGTCTTAATCACTTCAGTATCATTAGTTAAATTAGCAGTTCAGTGAGAGAAAGCAAGAACTGATGACATAGTGAACAACACACACTAGCACCTAGTCAATTATATTTTTAATAAATTAGACAATATGAACTCTTACAGCTTCAACTTTACCCCCTTACAGAAGCAAGAAGGTAGAAATGCATCTGAAATGCTAGAGGCCCTGTTTATTCATGGAATAACAGTTACAATAATAGTATGAACAGATGCAAACACTATTTTCATCAGCTGGACAACTCACTAATGCCAAGACTAAATTCTTTTAACACTTCAAAAAACTAATTTCCAAGTGTTGGCAACTCGCATACGAGATTTGGGATTATTTGCAAAGTTAATATTTTGTGTTAGAAAGGCCAGGGATCTATTTTCCACATACCTGAAGAAAGGTCTGTGAAGCAACAACTTGAAAACAAAAGGCGAAGAAATCTGAGGAAAAGAATAATATCATTAGTACGCTTTCTGAGCAGTTATAGAAAAGTGCCATGCTCAGATTGTTTTTTCTGTACCTGATAAGGCAAGTTAGCTACACATGCATCAAAGAATGGTAAATCTGTTTTCAAAACATCTCCAACCTTGATTTCCAGTTTGTTTGCCAGACACCTGTGGGAAAAACACACGGTGGTTTCATGAAGACGGTCCTCGCCAAGGCAGCTCTGCTGCTTTGCGCGCTGGCTCTCCCGTTCCCCTGTTGGGACTTACGTGCCCTGCACTCTCTTCTGAAGTTCACCCACAAGTCTAGGGTCAATTTCACAGGCTATAACCTGAAAGCAAAGTATAAATTTGCAATTTTCTACACAAATAGCTTCTAACAGGATAAGGACTTCAGTTGCAAAAAACTGTGGATAAGTATTGCTAAAAAAATAAATAATTCTTACATATCTCCTCTGAGGCTATGCACTTTCCCCAGCACAAAGGATATAAGGCTTATCATGTAGATAGGCAATAGCAATACAATTTGGCAAAGTGATATGTTATTACATGATGGTCAGAAATTCCTTGGAGGTTTTACGGAAAAAAAAAAAAAAAGATGTATTCTGCTTCTTTAATTCAGGTCACAGAGCAGCCTCTTGTTTGCTGATACTTTAGGCCACACTGTTGTTTTCGACATGTCAAGGGGAAGGTGAGTGGGGGGAGTGGGGATACCACACTTACTTTTTTTACTTTCTCTAGCATTTTCACTGTCAGGTTACCAGTTCCAGGGCCTACTTCCAGAATGACATCCGTACGTCGTAAGGCAGCCTAGGAACAAGCGGCATTTCACTATTTTTTCCAGAGCTGATTCTGAGCAATCGCTTAATTTTAAAATGAAACATATATGCAGTTCAATAAAAGGCTTCATTCAGCTAACAGCAGTGTGAAAGCGTCACTTAGAGGAGGAAGCAACGGAAATACCACAAACGCGAACGCCCTGGGCTGAGCACCGAGCCCTTCCACAGCAAACGCGCCCTCCCACAGTTACTTTCACACGAGGGGAAGTGTTTTAACGGCGAGGTCCGGAGCCCCGCTGCGGCGCTGGGCAGCCGCCACCCACCTTCTCGATGATGCTGTTGACGACGAGGGGGTTCTTCAGGATGTGCTGCCCGGCTCCGGTGTTGAAGAGAAGCCCTAGAGGGGCACAAGCAGCTCCGTGTCACACGGCGGAGACC